GCAGGAGCTATGGTGGGGTGAGTCTTAACTAGAGGCCATCTTCTCCACCTCTGAGATTAAAGAATTTTAAGGATTCAATATAGAGATGAACTACTTATGATACAGAGCAGGGGACATTATACAGTTAAGAAGTCATGATGTGCTTATTGCTGATGAGGAAAATATAACATTTCTATTTCAGTGTATTATGTTAAATTCAAATGTAATTCATAGTTGACATGTATAATTAAGCTAATTTTGAGTGCCCTATCTCTATCTCTCTCGACATAAAATGACCTTTCCAATTGTAAAAAAAAGAGTGCAAGAATGTTATTTTACTTACAAGTAAGGTTATCTGAAGTTGAATTGTTTAGCAAAATAACCACATATATTTAGAAACAAAGATATGAATATGCATAGAAAAATCAAGCATACTGTATTAAGCCAGGTTGACTAGAGAAACAAATGTGTTGACACTCATACATGTCTAAGAAATTTTTATATCAAGAAGTAGTTATAAACATAATCAAGATGTATAAATATGCCAGGCCAGTCCAACTCAAATATGTGAGCCTGATACTACTTCCTGTCTCTTTTCAGACTCATGAATCTACATGCAATGATGTAGAATTCAGGAAAGTCACAGGCTGGTGGAACACAGACTTTTGCATCCAATGGTTGTGAGTGCATCTCCAGGGCTTAGGCAATAACCAGGGTCAGCCATGAGGAAATTGAAGGCAGAGAGAGAAGGGGAGTTTCCCAGGACCTTCCTTTTAAGAAGGCCATGCCCACAAGGAGATGCCATCAGCCTGTGACCTGATTGACAGGCTGAACTCCACCCTATATTTTTATATATCTTCAAGTTAACATGAAATTGTAATTACTACACATACTGAATAGCACATGTAATGTTCCCTTGCAAGTGAAGTGTGTATGTTCTAGGTCATTAATGAATAAACTTGCTGCATGATTTATTAAAAAACATATTGCTTGTGTAAAACCTGGCATATTTTCTTTAGGAAACAAACTAATAGATGTGTCCATAAAAAATGTTCTCACTGAACATTGTGTTACAATTAATGTTTTTACTTGGTCACACGAAGAGAAGAAATAACATCATTTTAAGATGTTTTTCTATTGTTACTATTACTATTCATGTTTGTATAACTAGAAAACTTGCATAATATTTCCTTAGTAATTCACCTTTTTATTACTTAAAAACTAAGTAAGTCAATGTTTTAGAAAATTACTTGCTTTATTGAATTGGAACACCAGAAAATAACACAGGTTTCTCTAGCTGTGATACTAATAAGAAAAGACTAAAGTGGAGAGTTCACTTGCTCCAAATCACAAGGCTAGTAAAAGGTAAAGCATTGAAAATAACGTGGCTCCTAATCTTAGTCAATTCTATCAAACTGTTCTATCCTCCTAATTAAACATTAAGGTAATAATTAAGATTTGGCTAAATAAAGCCCTATTTTACTTGAAATATATATTTGTGTATTTTTTCCTACTTCTAGGGATAATTGCATATAGAAACTTCACAGCATGTGATCTCAAGAGCTGCCCTAAAAGGTAAGCTTCCCATAAGGGAAGATTTTTCCTATTTGTACTTCACCTTTGATTAGCATCCCTGGTTTCCATGGTAACACTGAGATCCTTTTCTTAAGAGTGATACTATGAGATTATTTTGATGTTTTTGGAATGTTAAACTTAATGAAGGTTAGTGAAGACATAAATTAATGTTTTATACTAGTAACTTGATGCCTTCCCCAGTTTTCTCTGGGGAAAATAATGGAGGTAGGTTTTCTGAAGTTGAGATTGATTTGGTAATTGTAGAACTTCAGAATTTAGCTTCATGGAAAGAATATCAGGAATGCATTTAAGGCTGTTATAATTTTACCAAGTGGTCTTACAGGACAAGTTGTATTAGCAGTCAGACAACACAACTATTAATTAAGTAGGTTGGACAAATATCTTGTTCTTAAGATTGAAACATTGTAGAGATAAAGCTTGAACATTGCAACTCACTCTACAATATATAAAAATGCTTTTCTTAATGTAGTATTCAGATGTACAAATGTAAAAAATGAAACCTATTTAAATGTGAGATGAGTAATTATAGGTTATATATTTCATCTATAATTATTCATCTCACATTAAAACCTTGTAATTTCTTGAATGATTGAGATGCTTTCATTAGTCTCTGGACCACACCATAGGATGTGTGATAATGGTGTGTGTGTGTGTGTGTGTGTGGTGGTCTGCCTTGATATCAATTGACTTGGAGAAGAGGGCATGTTTGAATATATCGTACCTGTGCATTGAGGTCCTAAAAAATCCAATAAAAGATTTAGCCACAAAAGCTCCATATGCTGCTTGGTTGATTAAAGACACCAAAGCACATAAGAAGGTATTGTAACTTTTAGGGAAATTCTGCATCAAGGACCCTGTCAGAGCTTGTCCTTTTCATCACTTTGTATTATTTTTGCTATAATAAATCTGTTGTAATTATAACATTTTCCTAAGTTATGTGAGGAGGTATAACAAATTATTGAACCTAAGGAACTAGTGAAGCTAGCAGATCAGAAGTGAGAAGGCTTGCTCCTATGAATCCCTGGGTTTATGGATGATATCTTCAGTTTATGGATATCTAAAACTCAAACCAAATACATGGCCACCAAGTCAATTCCAATTAATAATAATTCTATATAGGATACTTATAATGAAAATCTTTCTAGGAGCAGGGAGCCTCATATTTCTTCCTCTGAGCATCTGGTGGGTTTGAACTGCTGATCCTTGTAGTAGCTGGTGGATTTGAATCACAGATTTCATGGCTAACAATCCAACACCTAATCCACAGTGCCAGTAGGACTCATTGAAGGGATATAAGGACCTCTTAAATATGCAGAAAGCAGGTTGGTACTGGCATATGAAGTCTCCCATGGCAGCCAGTAGAAGTGTGTTCTTCAACGTGTGAGCTCTGACCACATCTCTGGTACTACAGAGGACTGCAGAAGGGTTGGTGCCAAAGCTGAACAGAGAAACTGAATGTGGGAAGCCCTGTACCCTCACAATTGTTATCAGGGAAAAAATGAATCTGAAATTCATCATGTCTATGTTGTCAAATATGCATAAGCATTTATAGTGAAAGAGATCTCCTTTCATTGCTATTCATACATTAAGCAATGTCTTATCTTCTAATTCAATAATTAGTTCTGATGGCCAAAATTTCCCCAAACATGATAAAAATTGCCAAACAGTACAGAGTGGAGACGGTTTACCTAATAAGCAAGGTAAGCACAGGTTTACTTGTGCTTATTTCATTATCTATACTGAACAGTTTCATCACAATATTTTTCCAACTTCTAACTTTTCCTGTTTGGTGAATCAAAATCATAGTTTCAGTGGCTGAATTAGCCATCTTTCTTGTGGTAAAAAACAAAACAAAACAATGAAATTGTTCACTATAGATTAGAATGTAAGCATTCATAAACCCATGTCTACCTTGCCTATACTGGGAACTTTTCTTGTCGATTTGAAAAGAGGCTTTGATTCTCTAGAAAGGTAATTTGGGTCTGGGAGAGAGTCAGATGCCAGCCATATCTAGAAGCAGGATTTTTGATGTAGTGAAAAGATGTGAAATTGTTCACTCTAGATTAGAAAGCAAGCATAAATAAGCCCATGTTTACCTTGCTTATTGGGAAATCTTACACAGGTACAGAGAATGATGGCATTGATCAAATTTTAATGAATGATTTTAAGCCTCAGTGAATATATTTTGGCATTACAATGAAAGAAATTAGAAAAAATCACGGATATGTGTTATAAACCATGATTGAATAAGAAAAATTTAAAAATCAATTATCTATTGATCCATAGCAAACCATCCCAAACCCAGGCTCAAAAACATTAATTATTTCTCATGAATCCATGGTTCAGCTGCTTGGGTCTTATGATCTGGGACAGAATCCTATCTTTGCTGGGTGTGTTCATGTGTCTGGGTTCAGCTTTATCCTCATGGCTAGCATAATCCTAAAATATTCAGAGTATTCTTAAACTTGTCAGTAGTTTCTATTTTCACCTTCCTGTGATTCGTCCAACTATAATTCATTACAGATAATGCAGTATGCATGATCTTTCTAAATCATTATTCTGGTATGATTATTGCTTCATCATTGTGTCAATTCCAACTTATACATGTTAGCTACAGGGACAATTTTACTCTATTCTATAGGATTTCTATGAGTCAGAACCCACTCAATGCCAGTGAGGTCTTTTTAATTCTTGATTTATTTGTTTGGTTTTATAGGACATATTAGAATAGGGTTTCCAAGGCTGTAAACCTTTATAGGACCAGAAAGCCTCATATTTCTACTGCAGAGCAGCTGGTGGTTTCAAACTGATGACCTTACGAGTAGCATCCCAAGGAATTAACCACTACACTACCAATGCTCTTTCAGATGACCACAGCCTGTGACACATTTTTCATGTAGTTCACCTATAGAAGACTCAGCCCATTTGACCCTGGATTACTGCTCAGATTTTGCTTCTTTGTCCCACTGTAAGCACTACCACTTACATTTTTTTTAAGGCTCAAATGCATTCTCTTTTTCCTATGTGTTGATTCTATGTGTGTATATTACCTGAAATACTATTTTCTTAACTCTAACTCATCGATAATTGATCATCTCTTGTTACCAACTTCTGAAACTCAGTTTTCTAGCTAGCTTTATGTGATTTCTCTCATTTTAGCTAATCCAAATTCCCCATATCTATGTGAACAACCTGATAAATATCTTGTACTTTTAGCTGTTTGCATACTATATTACTCCCCCACTGTAGAAACAATAAAGCCATGAGTCAGCATCCTCTTGTTTGTCCTAGCATTATAGAATTTAGTATTACACGCGCAGAGGATACACTCAGAATTATCCATGCAGAGAATGAAGGCTAGAATGACATCTTTCCTTTTCTATATCCTGTCTATACGTTTGGGTGATTGGGCCTGGTGATCATTAGGTTTTGTGTCAACTTGGCAGGGCCAGAATTCTCAGTAGTTTGGCAATGAGGCCTCTCTCATAATATGATGTAACATAATATAAAAAAACTCCATGAGGATTAGGCTGGATTGCTATCCCTCACCCAGGCAACAGCCTAATGCTGTCTCCTTGGGGAACATATCCGTGAATAGATGTTGTGGAGAACTCACTTTCTCTTTTTGTCCTGCTGGCCTCACTCCATCTGGCTTCTTGGGATTTGAACTGGGGCCCACCATGTGGCTTGTCACTTTGGGAGCTATGGGCAGCCTGCTGTAGTGCCAGCTGACCTTGGACACCATAGACTCTGCATCTATCAGTAGTGGTCTTCCTGCTTCACTTTCTGATTTCCTTCTCCTGCTTCATCATGGGGCAGTTGCTTAGGTTGAGAAGGGCTTCACGGACTTGGGCGGGACTAGGCTGCTCACTGTGTGACTGTGGGGCCATGACAATGTGAGCCACTCTTCCTCTGTACGTTTCTTTTTAATACGCATGAGTGTCACTGGTTAGCTTCTCTAGAAAACCTAATAACACAGTCATGTCCAGAATTAAGAGTAAAAGGCAAAAGGTGAGGTTCCCTCAAATTTTCTTCATCCCTACTTAGAGAGTAGCTGAAAATCTTTGTTACCCAGGACTTTTTCTTTTGCCACAGTTTGTTAAAGATAAGAAGGGAGCTCCTAGGTGGTGCAGACAGTTAACATGCTCAGCTATTAAACAAAAGACTTGAGATTGGATGATACCCAAAGATGCTGCTGAAGAAAGACCTGGTGTTCTACTTAAGAACCAGTCACTGAAAACACTGTAACAGTCCATTTTGTTCTGACATACATAGGTTCCCTATGAGTTGGGGTTGACCCAGTAGCAACAAATACTAACTACTCTGGGTCAGAATCACTTACAGATGTATTGATTTTGATTCGTACATTTGCTGCTTTTTCCCAACTCCTCCTTCTAACCCTTCCCCTACTCTCCCCTCCCCTCTCTTCTTTAATTTCAAGGAGAAAAACAAAGTTTCAACACTTGCCAACATACCAACATTTGGAAAACCCAGTGTGATTGAGTCTATGTCAACTCATAGCAACCCGATAAGGCAATGTAAAAGTGCCCCTGTGGGTTTCCAAGACTAAATTCTAACGGGAGTAGAAAGCCTCTTCTTCTGAGCATCTGGATATTCCATATAAAATATTGATTCCCAGATTATCTTTAAAGAAATAACATCTTACTACCCCTAGACAATATTCCTATATGTCAGGGCAGCTTAAATGAGTAGTAGCTGCCATCCCATTTTTCAAAATCATTTTATTGGGGGCTCGTACAACTCTTATCAAAATCCACCCATCCATTGTGTCAAGCACGTTTGTACATTTGTTGCCCTCATCATTCCCTCTCCACCTTCTCCTTCATGAACCCTTGATAATTTATAAATTATTATTATTTTGTCATGTCTTACACTGTCTGACGCCTCCCTTTACCCACTTTTCTGTTGTCCATCCCCCAGGGAGGGGGTTACATGTAGGTCCTTGTGATTGGTTCCAC